AGAGAGAGAGAGAGAGAGAGAGAGAGAAGAGGCGGGGAGGACGTGCGAGTTGTTTTTTAAAGCTGTAGTCGTGTGAATGTATATATAAAGCGGCCCATGCCAACCTGTGTGTGCCCGTTTCCCGCGACGGGCACTGGTCCTTTCTGCTTGTTCTTCAGGGGCTGGCCTCACGAGGCAGCCGTTAACGGCACAGCCGCGAGGCCGGCTGGAGGGAGGGGGGCGTCGCCAAGCAGAAGCGCAGCTAGGGGTCCATCGCTCCACCTGACTTTCGGAGTCGAAACGGCCTTGTCGGGCACGTACGAGTCGCTGCTGCACCACGCCCTGGAGGTCGCGGCGGTGGAGCACCCGTTGCTTTTCGGGCTCTCGCCACGAGAAGGAGGAAGAGTGAGTGAGGATGATGAGGGGGAAAGTTGAGAGAGGATGAGGAGGTTGGGTGAGGGTGAGGGGGAGAGGTGAGTGAGGATGAGGAGGAGAGATGGGTGGGGATGAGGAGGAGGAGGAGGAGGAGGAGGAGGAGAGGCGAGAATGAGGCTTGGGCCAAGGTTTGCAGGCTCGGTGCGCTCTGTCCCAGCGGGAGGTCGTTCGAAATATCAAGAAAACGCTTCTTCACGTGCAACCCCTTTTGTTAGTGTCTGGGTTTGCAGGCGTTTTTTTCAGGACGTGCTCTAGAAGGACGACATTCATTTTGACAGGATTTTACGATTTATTTTACTGAATTGTTATGTAAAAATCTTAGTCTCTGCTGCCGCGACCTTGTCGACATTCCACTGCCACAACAGCACATGTTTGTGTGTGTCTGGTCGCTTTTGATGTGTGTGGCCTTGGCTTGTTGTGGCCTGACCTGCTAGACATTGGGATGCTTCTCGGTAAATTGGATACCAAAGCTGTTGTCATCGGTATATACCGTAGATACAGTACCACAAATCCTGCGGTAGAACGAGGATACACACAAACACGTTTTCCACAGCATCTGCACCAGCAGCCATACGTACAGAGGCCGTTGCGTTGTCCTTTTTTTTTCGTGCTGCGGGTGCACTGCTACACCTCTCTCTGCACCGATATTCTCCCCTTGCCTGCCTTTCTCTCCGCTTCTGCATTGTGCCTCTGCCGTTCGTCCTCTATTCTTCCTCTCCTTCTCGCTCGATCCCGATCACTTCCTAAGAGCGACAAACGATCAGCCAACGAATCCGATGAAGACAATCAAGGCCGTATGGGGGGGAATGCCGAGGTACCGTGGCTGCAGCTGCTTCACCTCTGGGTACACGACGTCGCTTCTCGCGACGCGCGCCTTCGAAAGTGAGAACGCATTCGCGTGTTTTCTAACGTTATCATGATTGAGGCGTTAGGGTTTCCCGGCGATGACATTGACTATCTGTCTCTTGGTGGGAGAGGGCTCAGCTCGGCGCACTCTTTGGCTTTTCTAAATCTGCGACATCAGCCTAATCTGTTGGAAATGTTGTCTGTACGGTGTGTGGAAACGAGTATGTACGCAGGCGCTGGTCGAAAGATGCGCGCACGCAACGCGTACGTCGCGCACACCACGCATGTCATGTCTACGTAAACAAGCATGCTTACCCCTCCCTCTCCCTCTACTCTTGCCCTGCTTGCGACCGCCTCATGTCCTGCATCATGCTTCGTGGTTTTCTCGCACGCGCACACGCACAACACGTGCACACATCTATCCACCCAAGCAGAGCTGTGCCTCTGGCGCCCCTTTTCTCTGCGTCGTCGGAGGGACGCCCAGCTCCTCCAACAGCCGCGAAAGGCAGCCCGGACGCCGGCAGCATCGATGACGACGACAACAACGTCGCCGGTGGTCGACGCGAAGGAGTCTGCACGGCGTCAGCTCAGCGACAAGAGCACCAGACGGCGGCGGTACCCCCCGCCGTGCTCCAGGAGTTCAAAATATCGCTGGAGGCGTGTGCGGGGAGTGCCGCTGCCGACGATGCCCCCGGGGTAGGAGGAGCGGCATCGAGCACGCTAGCGCTTCTGGACTCGCTGCTGGAGAACGAGCAGCTGCACCGTGTCAGGGAGATGTTCTTTGTCGGCGACGGCGAGCTGCGCGGTCGTGGTGGTGACGAGACTTCAGGTGGTTCTGCGGCGGCGGCGGCACAGCGGGGTGGGGAAGATGAAGATGCGGCAGATGCCGTGCTTTCTTCCCGGATGTCCGAGGACACAGAGTGGAGCAGGTGAGGTAAAGCGGAACAGGTCATATGTGGCATTCTTTATGTTCTTGCCCTCCGTCGTTGTTACTACAGAAGTACTTGGTAGAAATCGAGAGTGTGCTGGTGTACGTGAGCGCGATGTGGGGCGACGTCGATGTTCGGGTGAGGAATTGGTGTTTGGTTGGTTCACGACAAGAGTACTCGTCCAAATAGCACGCCTGAGTCCAGGCGCATGGGTTCTTGCTCTGCGGTTATTTGGGAGGGTGCGGTTTATGAGATTGATTGCTGCTATTTCCTTACCGCTGCTGCTTTCTTGGCGTGTGTCTTGCTGGTCGTTGCGGTTGTCGTTGTGGTTGATGCGCATTGCGGTACCTCGAAGCTTGGAGTTCAGTTTCGTCCGAAGCATTGGTTCCACCAATCATTTCGGGGATAGCTTCCTACGCCCCCCACCCCTCCCGAACAACCCCCCGGTGTCCACCATCGGCGTTGGGTTTTCGTCGCGTGGCAACGACGTTGTAATGACAAGCCCATCACTTCGTGAGCTCGGCAACCAGGTTACCGCTTATTTTTTTTTTTTTTGCGGTAACCATAATGGTGGTCGAGTAGAATATGCTGTGCGGGGTAGAGAACCCTCACTCCGCTCAAGGGGGACAATCGCACCACGTTGTGTTTAATTGGTCAAGCACCCTTGAGGCATTTAAACAGTGCTCATTAACTGACAGTCGAAGTGAAAACATCATATAATAAGTTGAGTCATACAATACGCGGCTATCATCCGTTCGCAAGGAAGTAAGCACAAGACGTCAAACACCCTTAGCAGGATGCAGCGCACCCTCCATGTGACTCGCCAAATACCTCACGGTGCTTCGCGCTTGGTGATGTGAGAGCCTGGTCCGGTGAGAACCCGGCGTGCTCCGTCCCGGCTTTGTAGGGGTGCCAGGTCAATGGTCTAACTGCTACGGCATGCACGACTGTGAGTACAACCCCCCCCCCAGAGATTTGTTCACGACGTGGTCAGGCTGTTCCCCCTCCCTACCGCTATGTTAATGCTTTGCTTCGTTTCGCACAAGATCCGCGGTACGTAGCTGCGCTTCCTGTACCAAGTGTAGCGATAACATGTACGTATCCTATAGCTTATTGTAACACTCCTTCCATGCCCGAGTTGACCGAATTCGAGCGTGGTGGCGATTCCAACAAGAACAACAAGACCAAGAGACATGCATTAGATCAGATGACCCACTTCATTTCGTTTTTTTCTCCTGAAATCTCAATCATTCTTCATTGTTACTGCTGTTACCCCTACTCTTACCCTGCCCCTTGCGCCCCTTTTTTTCCAATCATGTTTTGTAAGGGCAACGCTGGAAGCGTTCGACCGCACGCGCTTTTTGTCTTCTTCGCTGCGGGAAGAAATGGAGGGGTTTCGAAATGTGGCGTCGCCCCAAGGGGCATTGCGGCGGATGGTGGTAGCCTCATCAAGAAGAGCAAGAGAAAGGGACAAGGTCACCGAGCGAGACTTGGCTAGATGCGGGCAGGGTCCGCCGAGTCGGGGGGGTGTGTAGGTGTAGCGATCGGTATAGTATATGCATACCACTTTGATTGCGACTGTGTGTCGTAGACGAATGCCTCGTTGTATGCATACATGGTCTAGAGTCAGAGGGTGCTTCCGCTCGAGAAACAAGGGAAGAAGGGTGTCAAGAGCCTGGGGGGGATGCTGGGAGGCTGGTGTTTGTGGCTCCATGCGGAGGTCAGAGAGCGAGGAGATGGGGGGGGGGGGGG